GGGCACGGACCATATGTGAGTTTGAGTTTGTTTGATGTGTTGTTCTCTCCCTTGCCACGAGGGTTTTTCTCCGGGTCCTCCGGTTTTCCTCCCTCAGTAAAAATCAACATGTGAGGAGTGTTGTGTGCTAAAATACTTAAAGTAGAGGTAGTGAGTGTGAGAGTACAGGGTCCGCAGTAATTGGCTCACGCTGTTGCGGTGTCCCTGCCCATACTAGGGGCAAAGCTAATAAATTAAATTACTCTTAAATCTAACGTTTTCCATGCAAACTTGATCCATGCAAATTTATAAAAAGGAAAAAGCTCACAATGCATTCTTTGAAATGGTTTGAGTTTTTACCTTAGTTGTTCTGGAAGGCTACCATATATTCAGAGCAAATTTGCAGCTCTTTATGCCGACAATGATGTTCCGAGAAGTGAAGCAAATGCGTAAGCCGCTGGTTTATACTTTTGTAAAGAAACAATTAACAACGTTTGCGCGAAAGGATCACTTCATTGAAATGGAAAACATCAGACTTCGCTGTAATTTTTCACTAGCAGGTCATGTGACTCTATCCCATCTTAATCGAGAAGCCTCGTCAAAACAAACTCCAAAATTGAAGAGAAAATAGAACAAAGGTGTGAAGTATAAAAGTGCTCAATTCGACGTCTTTCCGGAGRCCATTCTGGTCTAACTTTTTTAATTAAAATTCTCGTCACGTCTCTTTTTCTTCATATCATATAATTTCCAATTAAAAATGAATTTTGTTTTGAACTATCTTCTAGATTTATGAGAGACGATATCATGTGACTAGCTARTGCAAATCGCCCATCGCCTCACCTGCGTCACTCCTTATTGTACTTCGTTTGTTAAAGTCCGCGGCTGATTCTATTTTGCGACCCAACTCCTCAACCCTACGCTCTGCTTCATTTGCGATTTCCTCAGCTTTTTCAGCTGTATGTAAAGAAATTGAATGATTTAACTGCCTCTCGAACCTGTTCTATCCTTTAGTTAATTTCGCATGTTGGTTTTAAGGGATCTCAATTGATTTTAGGTTTGCAAATGGTATAGTTGGACGGTCATGCACCTACACTGGCCTAGGACACATACGTCAGATCTGTGCGAAGTCCAAACAGTGAAACAGAAACGGTAGAGCTAATGGTAGTTCTTTTTACAATTTAAAAGGCATTAGTGACTTTTACCTTTTATATCAACATTTTCTTCGTTTTTGTCCATGACATCGTCAACACGCTTGCTTGCCTTTTCAAACTTTTTCTCTTGTTCACTGTCGTCGACATTTTTGGCGTTATTTTCAATTGCTCTCACCATTGCATTGGTTTGATCGTCTACTTTTTGGTTTTCTTCCTCGATCTTTTTCGCCATTKCATTGGCCTCGGAAACAACATCGTCTTCTGACATGGAAACTAGCAAATATAAAGTCATGGATTTCTTTAATTAAAGTGCAATAGTACATGTGACTAACTGGTTTTGGTAAAACTCAATTTACGAAGTAATTACACAAACAATTTGATTAAAAAAGGAMGATTGCTCATTAGATTTGAGATTATTTATGAAAACATTTGCCAATTATCTATTAAATCAAAATTATCACAAATAGAATGCACTATAAAATAAGACGATGTTACACTTTTAAATCAACTTCAGCGACTGCAGATTTCATTTTAAACCAGGTGAATTTTAACAATTGTACAAGACAATATCAAGTTAAAGCACTCCTCTCACTATACCTGACACACAGGTCACAAACACCACCAGCCACAYAAGGACATTGAATTTTCTTGGCCTTTTTCTCGTCATTTCTGTATCTTGTCAGCTTTTTTTGATACGGAGCCTCCGAACACTCACTTTGAGAGATATTTCACATGTCAATTTTGTACACATCTATTGCTTGTGTATTTTGTTTAAGACAAAATAGTCGACCAACATGTTTGAAGTTTTACGGGGCGAGACAAAACAAAGTAGAACCTTTCTYTTTAGCAGGTGTTTTGATCGTTCATCTTAAACTGGTGGTTGTCCAACMATTAATAATGTAAGGAGTGTCAGAAAAATGATATGGGTGATCTCACTTGAACCTTTAAGAGAGCTTAGAAAGTGGACACCAACCTTTCAAACAACTAAAAGGCAGCTTTTATGAAATCACGTGTGTTTTACTATATATGGGAAATCATTTCAAATCATTTGAAATCTAGAAACTGTACAATTGTGGCTTACAGAATACAATACGATGCTAAAGTATTCTTATCATGTTCGATAACACCATAAGCTATATTTTACAGATAAAAAATCGACTAAACTAAATATTTACAGAATATATATTCAGAAATGTGATCTTGAGCGTAAATGTCAAGAAGGTTTCTGATTGTGTYCTACTTTTATAACATTAATTTTATTGATCACTGTTCTGTTTCCAAACTTTGCTCTGGTTCCTTGCTTATTGTAATTTCGCAAAATGGCGTTTTTGAGCACGCTTTTTGCATTTGTTTTGGACCCTTTGATGTTAGAGTTAAGAGCTGGGCTAACCCTTACATGATTTTGTCCATTAAGGGATGTCTGCTTGATTGAGGGAGCTTTGATTATTTTACTTCGTGAGTCAACAACGTTGAACTTTTTTGGCGAGAAAATGTCAATGATTTTGATACGATGTTTTCCTGCTCCTCGATGAGAAACCCTWATCTTCATCGGTCCTTTTGATCGAATAATYTTTCCTCTTCCTGGTATGACTCTTCCGTGRACTATTCTACTTCTTAATTCACTTGCATTCTCCAATGGCTCCCCGTTTAGTCTTATAAAAACGTTTTTRAGACCGTCTTTGGTTTTCRAACCTCTGGGAATGGTATCCTTTGCTTGCAGCTCCAAACGCATTCGTTCTCTAAAYCGCGCTTCGTCAGCYGACATTTCACTCATTTCTGCACTGGGYGATACCARGTTGGCTCGTTGGWATGATAAGCCTCTGAATCCTGGCAGAGCACCCTGTCTGAACGGGGAGCCAGCTAGCTGTTCCCTTGCAAAAGTGTCCGTGGACATTGTGYTTGGATACATAAAACGTGGATGTGKCCTTATAAGAGACGACGAGATTGGTATAATTGGTCGTGATCCGTCCCTGCGTTGTGCGTTGAGTTGYTCGTAATTCTCAGGCAGCGGTTCTTCTCGCTCTATTACAGGAGGACCGTCKGCTAAAAGTGGTTCATCTTTTGAATCTTGTAAGTCGTGTTGGTAAGCTTCGATTTCGTTCTCATCATCGTCATCGTCTTCTGTGTTATCATCTGGTGCAGATCGTGGTGGTGGTGGAAGGAGAGCTGCTGGTTGATCAGGTGGCTCACTGCGAGCGTCTGGGTTCTCTTCGTAATACGGCCTTGGTCGGGGATAATCTTCCCATCTRTCCCTTGCAAATTGTTCCGGTTCTATTTCCTCWTCATCTCTATCACTGTGAAACTGTGGCTCATTGTTGTACCTAGATTCGTATCTGTATCTGTCATCATCRTMATCATCATCATGCCTGTCATCRTCATCATAATCAGGTGGTGGCCTTGGAGGTTCTTCACTTCTAGTATGACCTTGCTCATCGGACCAGTGACTGGCTAGAAGTCTTTGTGCGGGCTGTACACCTGGCTGTAACTGGACGAATTGCTGTGGTTGTTGAATGGTTGGTAATGCAACAATTGGATAAACAACAGGCTGTTGTACCTGTGCGGCAGTYGTTGCCATGGGGACGTTATACAAAACAGACCGAGCGTCAGCCTGCTGGATAAGAGGGTTCTGCAACGTAGGCTGTTGTGGTGCCGATACCATAG